CTAACTTGAGCATCACTATCCTCGTAAAAACTCTTCACTGCTTTCACTTCTTGTACAGAAAGATGTATTTTAGGCACGCGCCCTAACTCTGAGGAGCTAGATAAGAATTTCGCATTATAATCAGTGACAAACACGTAACAATATGTACAAGACATGTTTCTCTCATACCTCATGTATTTTATATGCCACCTTTGTATCAACAGTGTATATCTTAAATCTTATATACCATATTATGTAATAAAACGTACCTATTGCTAGAAAAGTATGAGAAGATGGGTGGTAGGGGAGTGGAACATTTAAATGGCTTCAGGCAGAAATCCAAATATTTTCCTTGAAGCCAATGGGTCCAGTAATTTGTACCAGAGTTGCAAACTATGGTCTGGCTAACATATGTTAAGGTCTGGCTAACATAATGTTACACCTGGTCTGGCTAACATAATGTTACACCTGGTCTGGCTAACATAATGTTACACCTGGTCTGGCTAACATAATGTTACACCTGGTCTGGCTAACATAATGTTACACCTGGTCTGGCTAACATAATGTTACACCTGGTGTAACATAATGTTATGGACTAGCTTATATAATGTTACACATTGTTTGGCTAACTTAATATTATGTTAGCCAGACCAGGTGTAACATTTTATTAGCCAGACCAGGTGCAACATTATGTTAGTCAGACCAGATGTAGCCTAATGTTATTCAGACCAGGTGTAACATTATGTTAGCCAGACCAGGTGTAACGTAATGTTAGCCAGACCAGGTGTAACATAATGTTAGCCAGACCAGGTGTAACATTATGTTAGCCAGACCAGGTGTAACGTAATGTTAGCCAGACCAGGTGTAACGTAATGTTAGCCAGACCAGGTGTAACATAATGTTAGCCAGACCAGGTGCAACATTATGTTAGTCAGACCAGATGTAGCCTAATGTTATTCAGACCAGGTGTAACATTATGTTAGCCAGACCAGGTGTAACATAATGTTAGCCAGACCAGGTGTAACATTATGTTAGCCAGACCAGGTGTAACATTTTATTAGCCAGACCAGGTGCAACATTATGTTAGTCAGACCAGATGTAGCCTAATGTTAGCCAGACCACGTGTAACATTATGTTAGCCAGACCAGGTGTAACGTAATGTTAGCCAGACCAGGTGTAACATAATGTTAGCCAGACCAGGTGTAACAATATGTTAGCCAGACCAGATGCAACATTATGTTAACCAGACCAGGTGTAACATTATGTTAGCCAGACCAGGTGCAACATTATGTTAGTCAGACCAGATGTAGCATAATGTTAGTCAGACCAGGTGTAACATTATGTTAGCCAGACCAGATGTAGCCTAATGTTAGTCAGACCAGGTGTAACATTATGTTAGCCAGACCAGGTGTAATATTATGTTAGCCAGACCAGGTGTAACATTATGTTAGCCAAACCTTAACATTATGTTAGCCAGACCAGGTGTAACATAATGTTAGCCAGACCAGTTGTAACATTATGTCAGCCAGACCTGGTGCAACATAATGTTAGCCAGACCAGGTGTAACAATATGTTAGCCAGACCAGATGCAACATTATGTTAGCCAGACCAGGTGTAACATTATGTTAGCCAGACCAGGTGTAACATTATGTTAGCCAGACCAGGTGTAACATTATGTTAGCCAGACCAGTTGTAACATTATGTTAGCCAGACCAGGAGTAACATTGCGTTAGCCAGACCAGGAGTAACATAACGCTAGCCAGACCAGGAGTAACATTACGTTAGCCAGACAGTGTAACATTATGTTACCAGACCAGGAGTAACATTGCGTTAGCCAGACCAGGTGTAACATTACGTTAGCCAGACCAGGAGTAACATTACGTTAGCCAGACCAGGAGTAACATTACGTTACCTAGACCAGGAGTAACATTACGTTAGCCAGACCAGGAGTAACATTACGTTAGCCAGACCAGGAGTAACATTACGTTAGCCAGACCAGGAGTAACATTACGTCAGCCAGACCAGGAGTAACATTACGTTAGCCAGACCAGGAGTAACATTACGTTAGCCAGACCAGGTGTAACATTACGTTAGCCAGACCAGGAGTAACATTGCGTTAGCCAGACCAGGTGTAAGATTACGTTAGCCAGACCAGGTGCAACATTATGTTAGCCAGATCTTAACATTATGTTAACCAGACCAGGTGTAACATTGTGTTAGCCAGACCAGGTGTAACATTATGTTAGCCAGACCAGGTGTAACATTATGTTAGCCAGACCTTAACATTATGTTAGCTAGACCAAATGTAACATTTTATTAGCCAGACCAGGTGCAACATTAGGGAGCCGTCGGGGAATTAATTGGTCTGGTTAACATAATGTTGCACCTGGTCTGGCTAACATTATTTTGCACCTGGTCTGGCTAACATAATGTTACACCTGGTCTGGCTAACATAATGTTACACCTGGTCTGGCTAACATAATGTTACACCTGGTCTGGCTAACATAATGTTACACCTGGTCTGGCTAACATAATGTTATACCTGGCCTGGCTAAATGTTACACCTGGTCTGTGTAACATACTGTTGCACCTGGTCTGGCTAACATAATGTTACACCTGGTCTGGGTAACATAGTGATGCACCTGGTCTGGCTAACATAATGTTACACCTGGTCTGGGTAACAGACTGTTGCCCCTGGTCTGGGTAACATAATGTTACACCTTGTCTGGCAAACATAGTTTTACACCTGGTTTGAGTAACATAATGTTACACCTGGTCTGGGTAACGAACTGTTGTACCTGGTCTGGCTAACATAATGTTACACCTGGTCTGTCTAACACAATGTTAAGGTCTGGCTACCATAATGTTACACCTGGTCTGGTTAACATAATGTTACATCTGCTCTGGCTAACATATTATTACACGTGGTCTGGCTAACATAATGTTACACCTGGTCTGGCTAACATAATGTTACACCTGGTCTGGCTAACATAATGTTACACCTGGTCTGGCTAACATAATGTTACACATGGTCTGGTTAACATAATGTTACACCTGGTCTGGATAACATAATGTTACACCTGGTCTGGGTAACATAATGCTAGACCTGGTCTGGATAACATAATGTTACGCCTGGTCTGGCTAACATAATGTTACACCTGGTCTGGATAACATAATGTTACACCTGGTCTGGCTAACATAATGCTACACCTGGTCTGGTTAACATAATGTTTCACCTGGTCTGGCTAACATAATGTTACACCTGGTCTGGATAACATAATGTTACACCTGGTCTGGGTAACATAATGCTAGACCTGGTCTGGATAACATAATGTTACGCCTGGTCTGGCTAACATAATGTTACACCTGGTCTGGCTAACATAATGCTACACCTGGTCTGGCTAACATAATGTTACACCTGGTCTGGATAACATAATGTTACACCTTGTCTGGCTAACATAATGCTACACCTGGTCTTGATAACATAATGTTACACCTGGTCTGGCTAACATAATGTTACACCTGGTCTGGATAACATAATGTTACACCTGGTCTGGCTAACATAATGTTACACCTGGTCTAGATAACGTAGTGTTACACCTTGTCTGGATAACGTAGTGTTACACCTGGTCTGGTTAATTAACATAACATTGTGGATCAGAATATGTAATTTCCTGTAATTGATCTGATTCAGCCATTTAAAGCTTGGTAACTATTTCAATAAAATTTTAAATCTTCACCAACGCTGACTAAACTTATGAAGGTTCAACCTTCTTATAAAACTTGTAGTCAATAATATTTGGAAGCTGATCAGAAGAAACGTCAGTTACTGAGTAAATATTGTCTCTATATTTATTCACTATAATTAGCAAACTGGAACTTATGTCAGGCAGTGGCAGAATAAGTGGTGCAAGTGTGAAGCCTATCAGTTGAGTCATTCCCCAGTTATTATATAGATTCCAATGATTCAAAACCATTTTTTATGCTATCTAGCATCAACATTCATACCTGAAAACAGACATAACTTAATAGATATTCTTCTGGGTCTAAGATGCGTCAATCACTGAATATTAAAGCCGTTAAAATGAGATAAGCTGAAAATTATTTAATGTCATTTAACTAGAAAAAAAAAACACGATTTTGCACTTGTAATCATCCAGTGTACATTTCTGCCATCGTTCAATATTTTGAAACCATATTTTAATGAAGGAATTTTGGAAGTTTTCCAAGCCATTCCAGGATGCTGGGAATAAGTTAAACAATTTTAGTCATAGAAAACGTGAAGATGCCTATTGTTCCAGGAATTTGGTCCTCGTTACCGTACACAAGTGTTGAATGAGACATTGACGAGTATTAAGCGAAATAAAATTGTAAAGCTGGTAAATAAAAATCAGACAACCTATTTAGAGATACCTAATAATACCCTAATACAAATATTAATAGGGAATAGTTCATACAGGAATTAGTTTATGCATTGTTTAGTGTGTACACAGGCCTCTGTTTTCTAACAAGGCTGTGACTCACGAAAGAGTTATAACAGGATTGCAAACAAATGATGGAATGGCTGAGACTTGAACCCATGACAAGTGAGTCCTAAGACTCACGAACCAGTCAGTGGCTTGACCTGTGAACCAGTCAGTGGCTTGAACTGTGAGATTTAGGACGCACTTGCCACTTGTTCATACTCCACACGTGTTCGCTGATATGCTTATGTGACATAAACTGAACATATCAAGTTATATAAAACAAACTGGTAAGAGGAAGTAACTGCAACATTTACACATGGTATATACAAACAGTATATATCAAGTGTGTAAGATTCAGGCTGGAAAGCTTTAGCATATGGTGCATATACAAACTGTAACTACTAAGAATAATACACAAATAACCTGCACAAAGGAGAGAGGAGCTTACGACCACATAAATGTGTGACTTCGTAAACGGTCCAAAACTCTTCTCTCCTCTTTGCTGGTAATTTGTCTATTGTTCCAGTAACGGCATTGTGCCTTTTTGCTCTTTACCAAATATAAGAAATAAGCAGGAAAGCAGGAGCAGTGATAGCAACGTGCAGCCATCGCCAGTCCCTGATGAAGATAGCCAACACTCCAGTCATAGCTTCACCAAGTGCAAGTGCTATGTGAATGATTATTCCACAAAATGTGCGCCATTTACCACCAATAAACTCTAGAGCTGGAAAAAAAGAGAATAAAAAATAATTACAGGTATTCATGAGCATTTCTGTCTTGCAACAATTTGCAATTAAACATTTTCCAATGATTATGTGATCTTTTGCATTAATTTGTAATACGAAATGGAGAAGTGTTTACATCTAGTAAACTGTATCCAAGTGAACCTTTACATGTTTTAAAAAAGTATATTACCAAACTAGCAAAAGTATTGCAAAAAAAAAGACAATTTTTCAATTATAATACAATTAATTATTTTTTAATTAAAAGAAACTCATAGGTTTCAGTAAATTTATATCGATTTAGTCCGTGAATATATACATCGAGAGATGAATATTTCTGTTTACATGTGCTGAGAATTTACTTTAATTCTGTCATTAAGTAAAATATAAAAAAAAAAAATTCTGTCATTAAGTGTTAAAATATTTCTTGGATGATGGTAAACAGGCGATTTGCAGCCTTAATGACCCCTAGTGTAGTCGATTACATTTAAATCCCCATTAGCAAATAAATTATTTATTACTTTCAATTATAAGTGTAAGAAATACTTAATATTATTTATAAAGATTTGATATCACATTTTTGCCAGTCTGCTCTGTTATCTACATAGAACAAGTAAGTGACTTAAAATATAAAGTGATATGAATGCAAATACTGTATAATGGTTTCTTTCTTTAATAAACAGTAAATAAACTACATTCAACCGACACGATATCAAATATAATAATGTTATAATATCGTGGTGATTCGTCTGTAAAAAAAATTGCAGTTGTGATCAAGTGGGGCCCATGATAACCTCACTGTGGTTAAATAAAAAAGGCACAATACCGTGACTGGAACGATACACAAATAACCCGCACATAGAAGAGAGGAGCTTACGACGACGTTTCGGTCCGACTTGGACCATTTACAAAGTCACACTAACCAGAAGTGGAGCAGGACGGCTATATATAGACAGGAAGAGGTAGTGGTGGTAGTAGTAGTAGTAGTAGTAGTAGTAGTAGTAGTAGTAGTAGTGGTAGTAGTGGTAGTGGTAGTAGTGGGGAATAAGGAGGAGGAGCCAGTCAAATACAAAGAAGGGGGAGGACTGCAAGGGAGCTAGGTGCCCACAGAGGGAGAGCAAGTGCACAGAGATGGGGGAAAGGGGAAGTGGTGAAATAAATAATGAAGGAACAGAAACACGAGACAGAAGAAAGAAAGACAACCCTGAGGAGAAAAAGGAAAGAGGAAAGGGGAAGAGGGAGAAGAAGAAAAAGAAAGAAAAAATGAGGAATCAGGTTAAGTCACTGGTGTTCTGAAGTTTGGAGCATTTTACAATGTAGTGGGAGAGGAAGGCCTCTACAGAGATGAAGCCAGGACTAAGATTCGTACAAGGAAAGTTGTGTATTAGATAGGATTCAACTAGACGGCGACTGTTAGAGTTGGAAGAGGGAAGACAGTTTTAGCAGAAGACCAGTCAATAGGATGGCTGTGATCTCTGACGTGACAGAACAGAGCATTGTTAGTGTCGGCAAGCCTAACACTATTTTTATGCTCACTAAGTCTGTCAGAAAGAGATCGACCAGTTTCTCCAAAGTATTGAAGGGGACGGGAGGAGCAAGAAATAGAGTAGACACCAGGAACATCTGTAGATGGAGGAGAGGTATGAACGAGATTAGTGAGAAGAGTGTTAGTCTGGCGGAAAGTAAGCTTGATGTCTAAGGGACGGAGAGAATTGTTGAGATTAGAAAGACCGGAAATGTAGGGAAGGCAGAGGACAGAAGAGTTCCCAGAAGTAGAGAGTTTGGGAGAGAAGAAATTACGTTTAGCAGGTGAGAGGGCAGAGTCTATGAAATGGGAAGGGTAACCAAGACGGGAAAACGAATTATGAAGAGTGGAAATTTCTGCTGGAAGAAACTGAGGAGCACAGATGCGGAGGGCACGGAGAAAGAGGGAGATAAGAACACTTTTCTTGACAGGGGAAGCATGATAGGAAAAGTAGTGAATGTACATGCCACTGTGCATAGGTTTTCGGTAAACGGAAAAGGAAAAACCTGTATCTGAGCGGTGGACATGGACATCGAGGAAAGGAAGCAAGGAATTAGGTTCCCATTCAGCTTTAAACTTAATGGAAGGGGCAAGATTATTAAGAGCTTCAAGAAAAGGTTGGAATAGACTGGAGTCATGAGGCCACAGAGCAAAGATGTCATCCACATAGCGGAGCCAGAGTGAAGGTTGCACATCGATGTTAGGAAGAAGAACAGTCTCGAAGTATTCCATGTAAAGATTAGCAAGGACAGGAGAGAGAGGAGAGCCCATAGCGACACCGAAGGTTTGAGAAAAATATTTCCCTTGGAAGGAAAAGGAATTAGAGTCCACACAGAGGCAGATAAGATCAAGAAAGACATCAGTAGGTATAGGGAGATGTAGAAACCCTACATGGGCCTTCTCTCTAAGGAAATCAAGGACATCATCAAGAGGGACATTGGTGAAGAGGGACTCAACGACAAGACTTACAGGTTGGGAGAGAGCGAACCCGTTCAATGAAGTCTTGAGAGTGACGGAGGTGGACAGGAGAAAAAGTACCAAGAAAGGGAGTGTTACGGCCCCCTGCCAAACTAGCGGTTAAATAGTTAACCTGCCGGCCGGCAGTACCACTGGATACGTCATCAAACCCATTGTGGGGACTGCTGAGCCGGCCATAGAGCATTATGTACCTGAACACCTCACGGTACGCTTGTAAGCATTAATTACCTGAGTGCCTCACGGTGCGCATCTAAGCAGTAGGTATCTGACCACCTAATCGTACACATCTACTGGCTTTAGAAACATTAAGTACCTGAGTGCCTCACGGTGCGCATCTAAGCAGTAGGTACCTGACCACCTAATCGTACACATCTACTGGCTTTAGAAACATTAAGCACCTGAGCACCTCACGGTACGCATCTACGCAGTAGGTACCTGAACACCTAATCGTACCCATCTACTGGCGTTAGAAGAACCGCTCACCGCAGCTCACTGAGTCTGTTGGCCTCAGTTACTTGACGGCCGCATTCAGTGAGCTTGCAGCATGGTGTTCGGCTAGCGGTGTATCAACCGGCTTTGGAGAGTATTTACTGGACTACCGGTGATGTCTGCGGACTCACCGCCTACGCTGGTCAACTGAGGGCCGGAGTCATCGGATGCTGTTTGGTGGAACATTACATGAAGATAAGATTGGAGTGTTACACTGAACTGGGCTAGGTCCGTAGTGTGACACTTAAGCAAGTATGATGGAGTGGAACTCTGAGATATGCTACAGGACCGTAGTGGAACACTGAGACGAAAAGGGTGTCGTGTGACACTGAAGATGGCCTGGTTGTAGTGTACATTGAATAGTGTCATGTGACTGGCCTCGACCAAAGACGCTATGCGGGTAGTGTGACGCAGAGACAAGGGTGTCAAGTGTGACACGGTTGCGAAAGTGTGTGTATTACACGGAGAAAAGGGTGTCAAGTGACACGGTGGAGAAAGAGCGTCACAACTCGGATAAGTGTCGTGAGAAACAGTTGATTGTAATTTATTATTTTAAATGTTACTTAATTTATTATTTTAGCATAGTTATATATATAGTGACACAGTAGTGTCAAGAGTTGTACCCTGTGTAGGGTCACGAATTATTATTTATTTTAGTAAAATGCTAATTATAATTTATTATTGTAACATGTATATATTATCAGATGTTAGTTCAAATACCTCTAGACCAAAGACAGTTGATTTTTATATAATATTAAAGATTAATGGATTTTAATGTGTGTATTTATGTATCCCGAACTCTTTATTACAAAAGGAGTAAAACTTACCATATTTAAAAATTACTTGTTTTGTAATAGGGAGTGAGGGTTTTGGCCAACGAAGAAGCAAGAGAATAAAAGACAGAACCTCTAGAGGATATGATAGGACGAAGAGGAATATGAGGTTTATGAGTTTTCCTTTTTCTCCTCTGGGTTGTCTTTCTTTCTTCTGTCTCGTGTTTCTGTTCCTTCATTATTTATTTCACCACTTCCCCTTTCCCCCACCTCTGTGCACTTGCTCTCCCTCGGTGGGCACCTAGCTCCCTTGCAGTCCTCCCCTTTCTTTGTATTTGACTGGCTCCTCCTCCTTATTCCCCACTACTACCACTACTACTACTACTACTACTACTACTACCACCACCACTACCTCTTCCTGCCTATATATAGCCGTCCTGCTCCACTTCTGGTTAGTGTGACTTTGTAAATGGTCCAAGTCGGACCGTAACGTCGTCGTAAGCACCTCTCTTTTATGTGCGGGTTATTTGTGTACCTCACTGTGGTGATTAAATATATATCAAGTTGGATGAATCTTCTCAGTCTTTGGGATACTTATATCAGAAGTCTTTCATCAAAGTTTACAACATCCAATTTTCTCCCAGAAAGTCATCTTAAGACTGAAGATACACTGTTGACAGAGTAGATGATACTCACAGGAAGGAAAATCTTGAAAACATAATGGCTGTGGCAATCATGCTCTAGCTCAAGCCCCTTCAAAGTCGAAACTCATTTCCTTCACACTATTCCCTTGTATTCCCTGTATTCAGCCCTTAAACTGCCAATGACGTAAATTTATACCAATAGTGAGATTGCCGATGATATAAATTTACACCTAAATTTTACCTCCTGCAAAATGGCCACGATCGACTGGGTTAGTCCTACAAAAGAAAAAAACAGGTCTGTACCGTGGGTATGTGCAGTATAAAATAGACCGTGGTGTGTGTGTGTGTGTGTGTGTGTGTGTGTGTGTGTGTGTGTGTGTGTGTGTGTGTGTGTGACATTGTGGTAACTGGTGGAAGCTGTTAAATTGTTCATCATGTTGCGCCATTGTCAAATGCGCACTCCAAGGAGAACTAACCACCTAGTTGGCTTTTTAATGAAACTAATTCTGAGGAGAGTTTTGTGTGTTTAGTGCTAATGTAGGTGACAGTGATACTGGAAAAGTCCTAATAACAAAAATGTTGATGACCACATT